AATAATATATGCAGTGTATTATTTGTTGAAACTGTACTTCCGATTTGATTTGAAACTGTCTCATTGCTATATGTTTATCAATAAAACTGTAGAAAAAAAAAAATAAGATGGCACACTGTCAGTCTTACAGTGGAGGAGGCACTGCTTATTCTAAAGTAGAAACATCTAAAAGAAAACAATCTTTAAAATGTTGACACTGGGGTAGGGGAGATAGCTCAGTAGAATAAGTGCTTGCCTGGCAAGCAAAGGAGCCTGAATTCAATGCTTGGTTCCGCAAAAAATAAATAAATAAATAAATAAATAAAATGTTGACATTACACAAAGTGAAAAATAACACGAATTTTTACTTTCTGCCTCAGTGAAAAAAGCTATCAAATGACTTGAAAAGCACAACAATTACTTACAACTTTTCTCAAAAGAACCAACATAAATTCAAGCCTGGGGGAAAAATAAAAAGGCAATGCTTCACTAAAAAGAAACACAGGAAGAAATGACAGTGAAGAATCTGGTGGAGGCCTTTTCTTTGCCATCTGCAGGAGACAACATCCACATGTACCTTCCCATTTTGGCACGAAGGACTCTGAACAAAGCTCCAGGAAGCACCACAGATGGAGCCATCCAAATCACTACGCCACTGGGCCTGGGGGCGCTGAGTGAGGGGAATCGCTGTGAGTCCAACGCCAGCCTGGACTCCACAGTGAGATTCTGGCAACAGTCAGATTCTCAACCACGGAACCTCCACGCAGATTTTGGCACAGGTGTGCTTTAGAGGCCAGCTGCTGCTACTCACAGCAGGGGTACGAACTCCAAATGGGAGACCTGAGGCAGATGGCAGCAGGGCTATGACCCCTAACGGTGGGTCTGCATTCCTGAACCCAGAAAGTCCTCCACTGAGACACTCGAGCTCCCTCTCTACATCTGATTCATACAATTTGTACCACAGATGGTTCCTTTTACAAAATCTTATAGAAAGCAAAAATTCTAAGCCCGAAGAATTCTCCATTAACTGGACACAAGATGAAAACTAAAATCACACTTCTAAACAGCTCTGGGGAACACTGCTTGCAGAGGCACCGTTCCTCCCAAATGATGTGCCCGCGCTGCTGCAGCAGACCAGACAGGAGGAAACTTACGCTGAAAATTGTACATGAAACAGGCCTGCGCCGCGATCATCCACTCAGCCCTGGTCTCACAGAAGATGGCGATGTTGGTCTTAGGTTTCTGCCCCAACTTCTGCAACCCATTTCCAAAGCTACAGGCTTGAACAAAGACATCTTCATAGGAAAGCCAATTATAGTGTCCAAGAATAACCTGACAAAACACAAAAGCACAAATGGCTCTTAATATAATCAATATATTAATTTACAGAAAAACAAAATGTTTCTAATTTTATAACGTTAAGTTTACATAAAACCTTTTATTCAAAAAGCTAGAAACTGAGTTTCAAGTTAAAAAACTTTAGCTAATTTGTGATACTCTTCTATGACAACTCAAACTATGCTAACTCTAAATCTTTATTTGTTTTTCAAAACTATTCAGTTTCACAAAACTTTGAAGGTCAACCTCCTGGCTAAATGGTTATATACTAGTAATTTCGTTACAGATTTCCTCTACTTACATAATTCAAGTGCAAATTTAAAATTTTACTTAGCATAACCATTACTGTGCCAGTATTTTACTTCCCCTCTACTTAGAAAATTCTGGATTTCAACCCCACATGGCACAATATGATCCATAAAGAGAAATTAAACTAGCCATGCTACCCAACCTAAAAGAACTACCTATGGCAATTCAATTAGAACTGCTGCATGTGAGCTGGGCATGGCGGCACATGCCTGTAATCCCAGCTCTCGGGAGGCTGAGGCAGGAAAATAGTTGTAAGTTCGAGACCAGCCCAGGCTACAAAGTGAGCTCAAGGCCAGTCTGAATAGCATAGTGAGACCCTGTCTCAAAGAGACAAAAGAAAAAAATAAGTGTTGTATGTGAATCTGGATAAGAAAGTAGACAAGTCTGTAACTGTTATAGCCCAAGGAAACTGGTTATAGTACCCAAAAGGCCTTCTGTTCAGCCCCTAAGTGCTCATGGTAGCCTTGGGATTTTTAACATTTGATCTAAATTTATCAGAAGTGCAGGTAACATCAAGTTTCTATTAGTAATAACCTCCTTTTAAAGTTTTGGTTTTTTTGGGGGGCGTGCATTTCTGAATTTCCTTCAACTCAGATGAGACCACAAACCCCATAATACACATAAACTGGGTAAGAAGCAGACTGTAAAACCACAGATACTTCCAAACATGGCTGTGCTGTTAAATATGTCTCGAACCCCCTAACAATCATCTAACCATATGCCTTCTTTAAAACACAAGCACTACATTCAAGAGATTTCTCAAAGGGTTGAAGACAAAATGGAAAGATGAATGCTGCCCTCTAGTGTCCTCAACAACACATTTAAGAAACAAATTCTTTTTTTTATTTCCCCACATAATTTTATTGATAAATAGGGATGAGGGGCTGGGGAGATGGCTCAGTGGAATAAGCACTTCCCTGGCAAGTGCAAGGGCCTGAGTTCAATTCCCGGTACC